CTTACTTGGCAACATTACATGCTTCGGCTTTTAGTTCGGATACATTCCCTAATTGTTTAAAATAAAATACTTAATAAATAGGATCCAACTCCAAATTAAATAAGATTCTTTATCTTCACAAATAAATAGGATTCTTATATGCCGTGTAAATCCTCCAACTCCAAATTCTTATCGTATAAAGCTTACTTGACAACATTACATCTTAGGATTCTTATCTTGCCGTGTAAACCAAAATAAAAAAAATTTAGCTTTATATATTATTTTATTGATATAATTAATTTAAACAATAACTTTTTTATATAGTTTAAATTAAAAAAATACTATAATTTCACAAAAAACTTGTTGGGATCTGTGAGGATCTCGTTATGTACAAGTCACGAATTCAATAGCAAACGTAAACCTATGCGCAGCGGATCTAAAGGTTTGACGTAGAGAACTTACGGCTTAAAATTTATGTAGATCTGGTTGACCACGAACGGTTGACCGTAATTGATTGACCGCAAATCACGTCTTGGGTTGCACGAACAAGATCAGATCAAAACCGGATCAAACGGATGCAAACAGATCAAAATAAAATTTTGCAGCCTGGGAGCTTGCGGCGGCGCGTGAGGGCGCGTGAGACGTCGGATTCCGACGATCTCGGCGGCCATGGAAAGCTCTCGTCGAGACGGTCGTCTGGATATGCTGTACGTCTCAATCGCCGCAAGCTCCCAGGCTGCAAAATTGTTTTTTGATCTGTTTGCATCCGTTTGATCCGGTTTTGATCTGATCTTGTTCCGCAACCCAAGACGTGATTTGCGGTCAATCAATTATGGTCAACCGTTCGTGGTCAACCAGATCTACATAAATTTTAAGCCGTAAGTTCTCTACGTCAAACCTTTAGATCCGCTGCGCATAGGTTTACGTTTGCTATTGAATTCGTGACTTGTAATGCACTTATGAGTGTGATTAATAAGTACCATATGCTATATAGGTTATTTTGTTAGCTTTATAAGTTTTTTGTATTCAAATAAAATTGATTTGTTAGGACGGATCGAGTTTATCTCATAAGCTTTCTTGGATAACTTTTCAAATAAGATCGTCCAAATTTTTATTTTTAGTCGACTTATCAACTAAATTTATCAAATATTTTTTCAATCCAACCATAAATAAATTATTTAAATCTTTTTAGAATATCTATATAAATACATTGAAATAGTTATAGAATATTATATGATCATTCTAATATATTTTAAAGAGTTGAAATAGTTATACAACAATATATGTCTTTTTCTATTATTTTATGTTTTATATTTTTTTTTTCAAACAACCCGTATAGTACACGGGTGTCGTACTAGTAAAAATTAATCAACAACAAAAATTCATGACTAAAAACAACATATAGTTGACTTTGATTACAAAATACTACTTTTTTGTAATAAAATTTTTAAAATTAAATTCATAAAACTTAAACAAAACATTTATGATATTTGACAGGAAAATGAATTTTGTTGCATTGCGCATAGTGACTGAGGGCGTCGAAGACCAAATTAGCGACACTCCTTAAAATGTTTTCCTAAAAAATATCTTAATAGTAACATAATTGTTTTGAAAAAAATAAACACATTATTACTGTTATACAGATAAACTAATATACAAATGATTGAAATTAACATGTAAAAGTAGGAGCCAGAGCCAATTAAAAAAAAATAAATACTTAAAAAAAAAGAAATATGACACAATTTTGATCCGCATGCATTTTGTTTAAAATTAGGTCCACTTCTTTTCACTTTATTTTATTGGCAAAATAAGTTGCAATAACAATTCATTTCTTGCAAAAAAGTGAAATGATGGTCATAGTGACGTGCAAGGTGGATCATTTTTTGTAAAGTTACAAATAGGTCCAGTAATCGTTAATGTTCCTGTTAATAACAATTTACTCTTTTTTCACTTAATTATGAGAAATATAATTTAATGTAATTTCTAGAATCATTAATAGATTTTTTGTAAAATAATAAGAAAAAAGACATTTAAATATTATTATACAAATTATAAAAGAATAAAAGTTATTATGATAAAATTAACAATGTGATGTATAATATGAAAAATGTAGTTGATGCATTATAGTAACTGTATTGAACTTTATCTACTGCAGCAATTCAGTAGCAATAATAAACTCTCGCTATCTTTTAAAAAATATGTTATGATAACAAAAAAATTAACAATAAGTAACACATTATGCTATTTTTATTCATAAAAGTTTATAGTTTCATAATTGTGGATCAATAATGAAATTAAAATGAGTCCAGTTATTTTAGTTACAAACCTTTAGATGACATCAAATTTAGGCCTAAATGAAACAAATTATACCAACTAAAATTAAAATAAATTTGATATGGGGTATCATACCTTAGATGATAAACTGGTCGACTAGGCTGAGTGACTCGTCTGGCCGATCGGAACCGCAATAAGGATGGCGGTGGTCGAACGTCACCAACACTGGATCAGAAGCCTTCGATTTGGAACAAAACACAGATACAGAGCAGCAACAACAGGTCAAACTAGGGCCCTCGGATGGCCTGAGTGAAACTCGACCTGCTGGCCTGGCTGGTCGTATGATCCACTAGAAAAAAACAACATTTGGGCTCAAGAACAGTCAATATTGTACTCCAACAGACCTCGAGCTAGTCACCATTAGGCTGTCTAATACGAAAGGCTAGGGGATAAGTCGATATCATATTGTAATTAATGATGCACATGGCCAAGGATACGTGGCACTACCTGAGTGGTACACTGTAACGCCCCATTATTTTTAAAGAAAAATTCCCAATATTAGAATATAAGAATAAATCTTTCGAAATTATTTTCCAATTAAAATCCATTTTTCCTGGCATTATTCAAAAACATTCTTTTCTTTTACTCAGCTTAAGCCACATTTTAAGCTAATGGGAACTCACTGCCTAAAAATCACATCACATTTTAACAACAAGATATAAACAAATACTCATCATAGTAATCTTGTATCAAGTCTAACCAGTTCAAAGTTTCCAAAACTAACCAAGCACACGAGTTTGAAAACGTTAAGCGGGAGCAAATAAAACATAGTTTAACACAAATAAACCACCCTTGTCTCGTTATCGCTATGGCCATCCACTCAACCTGAAAAGACAGAAATAATGGGAGTGAGCAAACAACAAGTTCACCGCGTGAATACTATGCAATATATTTCAGATAATATTTGACAATATAATCTCAGCATGAATACAAATCACCACATCTACCTCTTACCTTGCCATGTGATCATATGTACACACTCTTGCACGGAACCCAATCCGTCCAACCCTATGCTCATATGTACACACTCTTGCACAAGACTTACTCCGTCCTGCCCTATGCTCATATGTACACACTCTTGCACGGGACCCAATCAGACCTGCCCTATGCTCATATGTATAGACTCTTGCACACGACTCACTATGTCCTGCCCTATGCTCATATGTACACACTCTTGCACGGGAGATCAATTCAATAGATAAGTGGTTCACACGCATACTTTGATTGTGGAATCACATGATTATAAGAAATAAAAGCATAGTAAGTGTATCAACACCCACCTCAGTTCGGAAAGACATAAAAATACAAATGTTACTCGGTAGGTTTGAGGGCTCGACTCCTCAGGAACCTACATTCAATCAAGATAAATTTTCATAAATAAATTATCTTGATATCTCATAAATCTATTGAAAATTTCTCACTTCATCAAAAATTAATGATTAAGGAGTTTTTATCAAACTTTTAGTGGAACTTGAAACTCTCAGTTACTAGTAAGAAGGCTCGGAAAAAGGTTCACGAGGCTAACAATAAGGTTCAGCTCAAAAACGGGTCGAACGACTTGAAAACAGACGAGTGACAACATAAAAATAAAGTTGTTGAAAATTTGATAACTTTTCTATGCGCAGTCAAATTATTTTAAATATAACGTTTGATGTAGAAAATGTTTAGGACTGATTTTTGAAAATACGGAAAGTCAAGGGACAGAAATACATTTCGTGTGAAGACCTCGAAAGCATACAAGCACGTTAAAGGGATGAAAACTAGTCAAACTTAAACCACAAGCTGCAGCCAACTCTACCAAAATATTGCTTGCGCAGTGTTAGTATTCCGAACATAACTTTTTATATAAAACTGATAATTGAATGATTTGTGCCCTTGTAAGCATAAGAGATAGATCTAAAAATCATTTGAAGACACTAAAAGTGTCAGGTCACTGGAACAGGTTCAAAACAGCAAGGTAAAACAGACTGCAAACAACACCAATTGACAAGAAAAACTGACCGGGAATAATCATATTTTGAACATAACTATCAGCGTAAGAGGGATAATCTTGTGATTCTAGAGCATATTTAAACGTAAGACACTCATCTAAAAATCATGTTCAGGCTTCCAAAACTTTTGACTAAAAGACAATGACCAAAAGAGCATAGAAAGTATAGACTTGTAGAACCACGATTTTTAAAGAGGACTGACTGCGCAACGAAGAAACTTTCTTCATAACTTTCATTATAAAAATGATAAACACCTGATTCTTATTCTAGATGAAACATAAGAGACTGAAATTCAAATCACATGAAGAGCTCAAAATATAGCCTCCGAATATACGAATAGAGCACGTCAACTTAAGGCCAAACATGATTTTCAAGGCTCGACGACATAACATGATTTTCACTAAAATTTCCATAAATCCAGGCTCCAAAATAAGACACAAGATCTCGAGATTAGGACAACCAAACATGGCTCAAATCCCATAATACAAAGGCACCAAACGAGAGTTCCAATTCCACGATTTTTCCACAACGGCACAAACGATAAGAACCTAAATTATTCCAACCCAAACCGAGGACCTCGATTAAATGAAACAATTTAATTGAACGAATTTAATCCCGAGTACAAGATATAAGAAGTTCGCTCGATTATACCTTCCTTCAAGAATCTGTACGCTCGGTTGGCAACGAACGAGACGAATGAACCGTAACCTCGTCCACGACTTGCACTCGGCTACGCTCGCGGATGGAGGCTCCCTCAACTACAACTTGCAACGATGGTGTACAGCGGTTGTACGCGAACATCCCTCGGTGGCCGAAGCTCGCGATTGGTTGAACGGACACGATAGGGGTTCCTCGGCGAGGCGTTGATCTCGGTCGGCGAGGTGTCAAATTGAGGGTATATGATTTGTTTCTTTTTCCAATATTTATCCTAACTAATTGTTCATTGAATGTGTACAAAAACATTGCTACCAAGAATCCATATAATATGAGATTCTTACAATACTTTAAAAGATTTTGTAGTTAGATAAATATGGACTAACAAATCATCAATTAAGTTGAACAATCCAAAATATATAAATCGGTTTCTGGAATTAACATTCTTTATTAAATAAATATGAATTTTTAGATGTGACCATAAAATATAAGATATGTAGATAGAGAAATTAATATGGATAAAAACTATTTACCACTTGAGTTGACATGACTTATCGGAAAAATTTCAAAAAATTCCAGGTGTTTTATTCGTAAAATGATTGACAGGATTTTTGTAACCAAAATTACACGTTTGGCCGAAAAATCTTAAGGAAATGATTGACAAGATTTTTTGGAAGCAAGATATTCAAGATTCATTCTAATTACGCAAAATTGCGCCTAACATCATGACCTTTATCGAGATTGCAAATTAATCACAATCTTTTAACTTTTGCATAGAATATCACTTGCTTCAATTTTTTGCAAAACGATACATGCTTCTCACCAGCTGCTCCTGAAAAGCTGATGTGGCACCCAAAATGACACCTCATCTGCTGAGTTGTATTTACCATCCGATTTTTTTTTTCACCTCATCCTTAGACGATGTCGTTTCGTCTCGCGTGGTAAACTTCGATTTTTTTCCACCTCATATAGAAACGACGTCGTTTCTCATTTCAATTAAGATTAAATAATTCCAATCAGTTTGTATTTCAGAATCCCTAAAATCCTTTCGTGTTCCTCGTGTTCCTCGATTCTCTCTGCGCTATCAATAAAAAATTTCATCAAATCTTTCTTGTCTATCAGTTTTCGGCAACCTGATTATCTTTTTCTCGTTATGCTCCCTCGACGACTTCATGCTGCAAAAATGGCGAACAAATAGGATCATAAACTATTTTTTTCTTCTGTTGTCGATAAATTAGGTCAGTTTTGTTTTGGAAAAATAGGGGTTTTTTAAATTATTCTACATTTAGGGTTTAGGGTTCTCTTAAGTAGCCCATAATTATGATTGTATATTAGTTTAATTATGCTTATATGTACTTATACCTGTTTTGCATAAACCTAGTTTTCTAATTACATTGTTATATATGCTGTGATTTTTAATTTTTCTACATTTAGGGTTTAGGGTTTTGTTAAGTAGCCCATAATTAGGATTATATATTGGTTTAATTATGTTTAAATGTATTTATACCTGTTTTGCATTAACCTAGTTATCTAATTACATTGTTATATATGCAGTGATTTATAATTATTCTACATTTAGGGTTTAGGGTTTTGTTAAGTAGCACATAATTAGGATTATATATTGGTTTAATTATGTTTATATGTACTTATACTTGTTTTGCATTAACCTTCTTTTCTAATTACATTGTTATATATGCAGCGGTGACTTTATGATTTTTATAAACCACTGTGGGCAGTTTGTAAAGCTTGGCAATGATTTTGAGCATTATGGAGAAGAGGTCACTGCAAGATATGGGTTTGATAAAGATAGATTTGGTTATTTTGATTTATTAGAAGAGTTCAAAAATTAGGGTACACTAAATGAGAGAAACTGTATTATAGGGCTTATGGCAGTAGAAAGTATGTTCACATGCACAATGATGAGGGTGTCATGGAAATGCATTCTAAGATGGAACCTGGCAAGCATTATGTTCAAGTATATGTTGATTCTGGTTCCACAAATGAAAAGGGAGTGTGTCATGAGAATGAAAGTAGAGCTGATGATAAGCAAAAAGGCATAGCAGATGTACAACAAGGAGCTGATGATAATGTTTGTGAGGATAGCACAGATGAGGAGTATATTGTAAAAGAAGAAAGTTCTGAATCAAATAGTCTCAGTTTAGATGAAATAGAAAGTTGTGAATTAGATGCCATTAGTCGACTTAGTGGACAAGAATTGGACCAGCTTATTGATAATTTTCATGAGGAAAGCACAAATGATTCCAGAAGAAGAAAGTTCTGAATCAGATGGACTGAGTGGAGATGAATTAGGAACAGATGATGAAGAATACTTTGAAGCAAGGAGAAAAAGAGCTGCATCCAAAAAAGTTGCAAATGAAGAAACTGAAAATTTCACATTATCTTCTGAAAAGCGGTGTGGTTCCACAAATGAAAGTGGCTTCCAGTCTCTGAGGGGAGATCATTCTGATTATGCAGACTCAGCAGAAGAGGGTTATTCTGATTCTTTAAGCTCAAGGAGGGTTTAGTGGAGATGATGATGTCAACAATAGGAAGAAGAAGACAAATATGATAATGTATGATGCCAAGATTGACCATAAGCAATTCAAGTTTGAACTTGGTATGCGGTTTAAGTCGGTCACTTACATTAGGCATGTTATTCAAGAGTATTCCATATATACTGGTCACAATATTCAGATATGGAAACCAACTCATAATCATATTGAGGCAAAGTGTATAGAGTCATGTCCTTGGAAGTTGTATGCTAGCACTATAAATGCAGAAGGGAGAGTAGCCATCAAAACATTGATTTCAGATCACAAGTGCTCTAGGGACATGAGAACCAGACAAGCATCTGCAAAATGAATTGCAAAGGAATACTTTCAGGCATTCAGGAGAATACAAAAAATGAAGATTGGAGACCTTGAAGAGATGATACTTGGCAAGTATGTTGTGCAACCATCCAAGTGGAAGTTGTACAAAGCACTACAAATGTTGAGAGGCACAGAAGAGGAACATTACTCATGTATGAGGAGTTATGTTGCTGAGTTTCTCAGAGTTGACAGAGAGGGTCGGTTTGAATTTCTACTTGATGAAGGTATTGTTTTCAAGGGCTTTTTTGTGGGATTTAGTGCATTAAAAAAGGGTTTTTAAGTGGGTGCAGACCAATAGTTGGTTTAGATGAAGCTTTCTTGAATACTGTGATTGGAGGGTGTATGTTGACTGCTGTGGGGAAGGATGCAGACAACCAGATTTAACCCATAGCATAGGCAGTGATTCTGAAAATGAGGCAAATTGGAAGTGGTTCTTGAATATTTTGTTTGAAGAGTTTGGAATCAGGGATGGACTGGGTTGAACCTTTATTAGTGACAGGCAAAAGGTAACTAAACTACCTAATATAATACAAAAATTATATTTTTCCTTCCTGAAATACTTTGTGTATAATGTTATATAACTTTTATCTTGTTCAAATCTATTTTAGGGACTGATTAATGTAGTAAAGGAGTTGGGACCATTGGCAGAGCATAGGAAATGTGCTAGGAACATTTATATGTACTGTAAGAAAGCACACAAGGGTCAAACACTGAAAACATCTTTTGGAGGGCTGTCCATTATACATTCCTTGCTGCATATAAGGAATCATTGGAGGAGATGAAAGCTGAGTGTCACGAAGCACACAACAAGTTCATTGAGAATGACAATTTCATATTAAGTAAGGCCTTAATTTCAGTACATCCTAAATGTGATATGATGCTAAATAATGTATGTGAGACCTTCAATAGCACCATTGTTAGGGCTAGGAAAAAGCCTATTGTTGAAATGCTTGAAATGATAAGAACCTCTGTGATGTAAAGACAAGTTGAAAAACTAAACATGAGAAGTGGTCTCTCTGATACAATTTTCCCTAGGATCAGGAAAAAAACTAGAGGAAACTAAGTACAACAGTAGGTTGTATATCACCAAACCTGCTCTAGGAAACAAATACCAGGTCACTTGTTTAGAAAACCAATTTGTTGTTGATTTGGGAGATAGGAGTTGCACATGTAGGCAATGGGACATAAATGGTATACCTTGTGTCCATGCATGCTCAGCTATTCACTGGTTGAAAAAGGATGCCACAGATTTTGTATTCCCTGTATATCATTGAGAAAGGCTCATTGCATCATACTCATTCTCCATGGAGCCCTTTAATAGGAAGAGGATGTGGCCAGAGGCTTCAGGGAATCCTATCAAGCCCTCACCATTCATAAGAATGACTAGGCCCAAGATCAGTACGTAGGAAAAAAGCACCTGAAGAAGAGGCTAAGACAAGCACAAGGATGAAGAGGTTTGGCTTGCAAATGACATGCCAAAGATGTTTCCAAGTTGGCCACAACAAGTCTGAATTTTTTAACAAACCTGTCAATCTCAGAGACCTAGAGGTAGACCAAGGATCATGAGAGAAAGCGCAGAGGCATGTGGAAGTGAATCTATTGCTAAGGTAACAATTAAAGTTTTTTTTTTTTGTTTGACATTATATGTTTTAAAATTTCTAGAATTTTTACAAACTTATAAATTTCAGAGGCCTAGAGGTAGACCAAAGAACATGAGAGAATGCACAGAGGAAAGGGAACAATCTAGTGTAACTTCTCATACCCTTGTAGCTAGGAAAAAGAAATCATTGGTACTTTGATACATCCCATTCTCATTAATTGTCTTTAAAATTTTCTGTTGTCTGAAATTTTTTGATATATATGTTTGAAATTTCAATGACAGGTGCTTAGACGAAATAGAGTTCAAAAGAAATCTCAAATCAAGGAATTGAAAGTTGTGGAAGCTATAGGAACTCAAGAAAGTGTTTGCCAAAAATTGACAGAAAATGTTGGTTGTGGACATGTGATTGTGAACAAGTTCATGTGTTTCATTTGTAGTGAAAAGGTTGTGTTGATTGATGTGTTTGTGGACGTGTTAATGTGAAAAAATAATGGGTTTCAGTTTTTGTTTTTGTGGTCATGTGGATGTGTACAAATTGATGGCTGTGGTATTTATGTTTTGTCAAAATTGGCATAGATATGTATTGTTTGTGGACATGTGCTTGTGGTTGTGGATGTTCAGACATTCTGTTTGTATTTTGGCCTAGTTTTGCAACATAATGGATCAAAATTGCTTCATATTGATATTGTTTGTGTATGTTCTTATATTTGTTTGTATTATGGGATGGTCTTGTTCTATATGCTATTACATATAATGCTTATTCAAGAAATGAGATCATTGAACAATGATGTATAATGGATCATGACGTTTTATTCAAGAAATAATGTTCATTGAACAATCAAAATCTTGCTTATTGCAAACAAAACCACACCATCCTTGCTCTTTGCAAACACAACCAAAATCATGTTCATTGAACAACCATAAACTTGCTCATTGCAAACAAACAATGTTCTTTGGTACAAACAAACACTACAAACACCAGCTTTGTCTAGCTAAGCATACAAAGCTACAAAAACAACAACAAAGATAGCTAAGGATTACCATCTTGTCATCAACATTGAACAACATATAAAAACAAACACAATATCCTTGTTCAAAGCTACCTAAGCATTAACTTCTTCTCATTACACACCAAAGAACCACATGGCTAACAAAAACATATTGACTAAAATAACAACTTTTTTTCAGTTTTTTTCCTCTGATACATGGTTGCAATTTTATTCTAAAGATCAGCCTTTTCCATTTTCAACAGATCCAACTCATTGGCTTTCACTTCTAATCTTTCAGACAAAAGTTTCTCCATCACCATTTTGCATTTCAATTGTTCCTCCAACACTTGAACTTGACCTTTGAACTTCAAATAACTAGCTTTCTGGAAGGGTGGAAGCTCGGGATCAAACCAAGTAAAATATTTACAATCATCATCCTGTAATGTATAAAAAATTAGCATATTAAAAATCGATACAAAATGAAATGAAACTTCAAAATTCTGTAAAAACACATATAGGTGCAGTATATTAACTTCAACAGAAAGATATCTCCTGAATGTGCAATGAACAGTAAGATATCTTGCTTTCATCTCCTAGATTTCATCTCCTACATAAAATGTCTAAATACAAGCTAACCAAATTTTGTTCATCACTAAGACCCCCATTCTTGTCTGATTTCCAACATAAATCACACAAAACCTCCATCCTTATGTGAATCCTCATGAAATACAAGCTACAAACATAAATCACATAAAACGATTCCTCCGAAAATACAAGCTACAAACAACACACATCCTCTTTTCTATTAATTTTGTTCATCACTAAGAAGATCATCATTCAGTTTGCTGGGTATTTTC